TCTTCTCGGAACGCTCAAGTGTACGAGAACATGATGTGGGAAAAATGTTGTGCAATTTGAAATAAAACTGAATTATGGCAATAATTATTTGACACCAAATCCTCAGCTCGAACCATTTTTTGTAGACAGTATTTTGGCATTTGCTACAATCGCATATATCCACAAACACAATTCAAACTCGCCTCAAACATTACTTCAAGTCCGTCCATCCTAAAAGCAAATTTGCAATGTAGGCAAACAGTAAACCATTTGTAGTGGGCAGTATTTCGTAAAATGTTGTGTAAGACTACGATCTAAACTAGTTCAACCCTGCGCTCTACACATGAATATCAATACAGGATGGGTTCACAATCAAGTAAATTGCTTAAAAAATATCTGTTTGCCATTCACCATAAAAGGGGAACTTTAATTTTACTTTATATAGAGGGAGCTCAGTATCTCTAAAATAATTGAAATTGAAAGCAATTGTTAAGCAATAATAACATGAAACGTTCATATCCTATTAATCGTATAACACTGTGTACACAAAACCGTTATATGTGCATGGAATACATTCGGGACTCAAAGGGTTAAGGCATTGCCATTTATTAGTTTACTTAATGTGTTTCATGAGGCAAAAATAAGATGTTTTATCACAGCGAATTAGCACAAAATCCGATAGTTTCTACTACGAAACAATACATGTGTTCGTTTACTCAATATATTGCAGCAATTTTTACAAATTTCATTGGAGGTGGTTGTTTTCAGATTCTTAAAATTTAAATGCATTTATAAAATTCCGATATTCCAAACAATTTATATAACAATTCACATTACTTGACTACGTAATGTCCCATCTTTATGATTTTGTATCATTGAAGATTTCCAGCAAATAACATATATTTTTGGGATATTCGTTGCGATTTTTAGTGGAATTAGGTCGGTTACTTTTATTAGTAATTTTCGTTGAAAACGTAAACATACTCAAAAAATTATTGAGTCGTTTTTAGTGGAAAAGTAAACGAAACCACCTAATAACATTTCTCATGTTAGGCAACATGGTGTACTCAGTGAGGTAGCCGCAATGGCGAATTTCTACAACAAACAACTGTTGTTGTACATTCATATGTCAAAAAATATTTTGCAAGAACAAAGCGATTCATAAAATGTGTTTACACAAATTCATTTAGAAAATGCCTAATCAACATTGCCGAACAAGCTCTTCAAATTTATAATTCTGTTGTAATATGGTTTTAAATTGCAAAAACATTCTTGACATTCGTTTGTACCAACAGCTGGGCCGATGCGTTTACCTTATTAATTATGCCTTGTTAAGCAACAGTGCACGGCGAATTCATGTGACAAGTGTGCATTATATTTAATTATGCCTTGTTAAGCAACAGTGCACGGCGAATTCATGTGACAAGTGTGCATGTATTTCAACAGCTATCTGATAATCAGCTGCGCTTGATGGAGTACCTATGTGTGAACAAAGTGGAAAATACAAATACTCGAAAATAAAAATATTGTTTAATTATTTTGATCGAGTCAATTCATATTTCAATTGTTCACTTGTTTTGAAATTATGTTCGCAAATTTCGTTATTTCCCTTGATGATTTGATTTTTTGACGATCTTGAACAATTTGAATATTTGAGATACATAGGTCGATAAAGTGGTCTTTTGCATGCAAAATTTTAAATTAGCTACATAGAGTGAACAACGTCGTTCGTGAACCAAATAACTATAACAACTATGTATTGTGAAACCCAGTGAAATTTGTATTCCGGTTCAAAAAAGTGTAGGGTTGCTGTTTACTATAGAGCGTATCTATGTGCTACAGTAAATATTTATAGTATAGACAGACATGCCTCAATTTCTTTATGCAAATCTCAAATTCGGACGTGCATTAAACTCTTATAATTTTTTCTACTTTTTCAATTTCTAGACCGATAGTCTCCATCTTTGGACTTGAGCTGAGGTTGCTTTCAAATATTATAATGTGCAAATTTTGAGTTAAGTCAGATAGTCCGTTCTTGTGATCCACTACAGTCCGATAATTTCCATCTTCGTATTTGGTCGAAGTCTGGGAAAAGTCTTACACATTCATAGGAATGTTATTCAGAAGACGAAAGTACGTTTTAGTCCAAAAATAGAAAGATCGTGAAACAATTCAATTGGTCTTAGAAAAAATTCATTCAATAATTTATTATATTCGATCCAATATTATTGTCTGCCCTATTTGCAAGTGTCAAATGTGTTTGGTTTGACTGTGATTGAAATAAATTCTACAGGACGCACTGGTGGAGCTATATTGGTATCAAATATGGTGAATATTAAGATGACTGGTGGTGGATGAATTGATGTGATCATGACAATGGAACTGTAAACTGTGTCGCTATATAATTGTGATTGCAATATACATATACTATATGTGTATATATATAGGTATATAAGCGTATATTAGTGTGCATTACAAATAGATAAATAAATAAGTTTAAAAACAAATTTAGAATACTAAATTATGTAAGCAATTGAAACAAATCAAAAATTACACCAGGTGCAGCACCTTGCTGTCTCAAAAAATTCCATTCCGGGGTATAAAGTAATAATATTGTAGATGGGTTAGTAACGTACGGCACCCATATATGGGATCTTGATACAGAGTCGATAAGCAATTTATAATAACAAGGCAGAACGGAATAGAATCGCACAATTTTGAAATATTCCAAAGAGTCACAATGGATTATAGTAGAATTTCGATATAGCACTTTATATATTATCAGTCCTCATCGTTAAATTGAAAATATCGTTATACCGAATGACATTTTTTTCTTACTGATCAAAGCGATATTGTAATTCATTTATAAATATTTATTATTATTAGTATTTCATTGGGAAAACAAAAATTTAATGAATACAAAAGATTTAAAAAGGGCAATCGTTTTTACGAAGGTTTTAAAGTAAGAAGTAGTTTGCTTATGTGGAACATAAGGTGAGAGTGTACTGCTTCTTCTTGAAGTAGTCTGAAAACTATCGATTTCGACAGATAGTTCTGATTGCACCATTTTATACGCGCTTCGAAAGGTTCTATGACATCCGATTGCAGGTTAATATTTTTTTGCCAAAGATAATTTTTTTTTTAAAAAATTGAAAAACATCCAGCCTTTCTTACGCTACAAGTCTGGACAGAAGACTATTTTTATAAATTGGAAATTTTGGGCGTCTACAATTACGAGTGGTCTTATTTTCATATTTTCGCTAGCATTGCAGCACTCTTTTCCCAGCGTAAACGTAATTTTTTTTAACAGTCTTTAAAATAGTAGAGTTTTTTTGACTTTCCGAATTCGCCTTCCCAACAATCTTTCATAAAGGCATTTTAATGTTTAATGAACTACGATAAAACAGGGAATTTCAAGCAAATTTAGTTTGAATACTATAAACAATCAAAAAAGCTGGAATTTTCTTTGCGTTTTTCGCCAAACTAAGAGCAATGGAAGAAATAACTGTTTGTTTTTATGTGAGATCGTTAAATTGAGTACAACTTTTGAGTTCCACCGTTATATAAGGTACCAGAAGAAGAGGTCCGTCGGGTCCCACCTCCTGACTTGATCTAGGCTTGGTAAAGATAATAGGTTGTGCAAGGTTTGGTTCAAATCGGACATTCTATTCGCCTATTATTAGATTTATAAATATTGAAAATTTTGACCGTATGTAGGTTAGGTATTGGTCCCAACTTCTGACTTGATCTAGGTTTGTTAAATATAATTGCTTGTCCAAATTTTAGTTGAAATCTGATAGTATGAAAGAAAATTAATTTTAAATTTTGACTATTTTGTGTGGAAGGTACCAGAAGGAGTGGATGAAATCGGTTACTCACTTCGAGAGTTATCGTGCGCACCAGCCGGTCCGACAGACGCTTGGACATGGACTTGCCGAAGGTGCCCCAATCCCCTATTCTCATTACACAGCCAAGTGGTGGTCACATTGTGTGATGACACATTTTACATATACTTTTATTTTAAAAATTCTGCAGGGGATTTCAGAGTATCTACAAGCGGACGGCGTCTTTATATGAGGCCTATTGCAAAACGTGAACCTGTACTAAACATTGGGAACCGTATGAGTCGGGATCAATATTAGTCCTTGTAATTGTTCGTGTTCGTGTTTTTTTTTTTTTTTTTTGTCAAGTAAAAGCAACGGCAGATTGAATATCATGATCATTTATTTGATTTGTGCATAACCTTAAAAATACCTTCTGATACAACAAAATGTGAAAAAGAAAGATATGACAGAAAGGCAACACAGGAAAAAAGAAACGAATTAAAATACAAAAATAAAAACACCAACTAACGACGACATGATATCTGAGGTGTGAATGAAAATGAGTGTGGCGTTTACATACCTTGCCTTGTCACCGATTCAATCGTTACTGTCTGAACTTCGGGTATGATTTCTTGCAGAGTCTCTGTAAAAAGGAAATTCCGGAAAATATAAGAAATTAATACAGCCCTCGTTAGACGCCAAGAATAACAAGTCAAAGACTATTATACACATAAACCAACCAAGGAAATAACAATTCACATTTAAAACTGAACAAAAAAAAAATACAAAAATGGCCCAAAGACTTTTGTGTGTGTGTTTTCACCTCACCTAAAGAAAAAATGTGTGGGGTTAGTAAATTGGTTATAGGTGTTAGTAAGACATATGGACGTTGAGTTAGTAAGGCATGTTAGTACGGAGAGCATAATATTACACTGTGTGGCCTGGAAAAGTTCCGAGCGACAGACTGGCGCAGATGATTTGTGAATAAATTTATGGTGGAATCTAATGGTGGAGGGGTAGAAAAAAATTGAAACAAAATAAGTTCTGCTTTTAATTCTTGCTTACTTACAAATCTATTTTCTTTTCTATCTTTTTGGTTGATGTGTGTATGTCTGATTGTTTTATTATTATTTTTTTTCTCGTTGAGTTCATGATGTATTTTTTTCTTTGAAAGTAGTTCGAATCGCGTTTAAATAGCTGCTCATCTATTTGCTACCCCTAGCGGCGGATTCATCCGATTCCACATACTCAACATCAGTATGGGCCTCACGCAGCATACCCTTGATATGTATCTTCTCGGCGTCAACATTAAAACTGCTCTGACATTTCTCGTGCACGGTGGTCGTACAGCCGGCATTAAGCAACTCGTGCAACTCATTCGGGAGGTCGGTTGATGGTGGCTCACTTGGGATATAGTCCTCAGCATCAGAGGGTAGTTGGACATCTTCGACATCAGTATGCTGCTGCTGGTGATGACCGTTGTTGTGGTGAGTTTTCGAAGCCACTGATGACTTCTTATTTGGCCGAACATTTTCTGATGAGCAGCATGCTTCGGAAGCAATAACAACGTTTGAACTACTGGTGTCGTAATCTTTGAGATTTGTTGTCATTCGGTCGATTTGTGGCAACTCCTGTTCAGAAGCAGACGATATATCATCGGCTGTAAGATCTTCTATATCGGTAGCCTTATCTATCTGTACCGGAGGCAAATTTATGCTTGGGTTTGCCTTTGGCGTGCATTTTAAGCCCTGCGGAAGCTCCCACTCCGATAAATCCATATCTTCTGTATCAGTTTTGGCTTCATCTCCGGCTTTCGGAACATCTAAAAACTTTGATTTATTTTTGCTCATGGTGCGAGTTTTTAGTTTCTTTCGGCGAACATTCGTGCCGTCCATGTAGAATTCCTCCACGTCTGTCACCGATTCAGTGTTTGATTGAATTTCCAGCCTCTTACTGATGTGTGCCTTCAGCTGTTCATTGGCAATCGTTATGTCGGATTCAATAAGGCCACTGGGAGATGGCATGGAGGGTTCGCCCGACGAAACTTCATTTGGATCGTCCTCATCGGCACAGGAATATTCTTCAGAGTCCGTAGCACATTCCTCTCTAACATAAGTACCCATGCCGAATTGATACTCTTCGTCCATAGGCATAACACTGGTAATTGTGTCGCCAAATTTGTCTTCTTGCAACAACACTACTTCCCGTTGCGGCTGGGGCAATACTTTGACATCGACGGTGTGACCTTTCGCTTCGGGTGCCAATAAATCTGCATAAGAGTTTTCGTCGCAGGATATGTCTTCACAATCCGTGTGACAATCTCCCAGATCACCGGGTGCCAAAATTACTGCCTGTGGAATTGGCTTCTCGTCATCATCGTAGCTGTCATCATCATCGTCGTCTAAACGTTCGATGTCAGTTAGAACCTCCTCCTTTCGTTCTTCGACTGCCAGGAATTTACAATTAGAAGTTGACGAACATGCCGGTTTCATGGCGGGCCTAGTCACCGAGGCCAATGGCGGCAAAAATGTCACATCTAGCGGCGGTATAGACACATTTCCGTCGTCTGAATGACTGTCGTCATCATCTCTAGAATCTGAATCGGAAAAAGCAATTTGACAGACTTCTTCGTCACCCGAAATTTCCAAGACCTCATCTTCAGATAACACTTGTTTTAATGGGGCTCTAGCACCAGCCATATCCAACGCCAAGTCGCTTATATTACTCGCGATGGATACGTCGTCATGCTCATCCGACACATAACTTACATTCGGTGTTCCAGTCGCGTCGGCTATATTGACTCGTCCTGGTTCAACCAATGCTTCGTCCAAATCGAAACACACAGATTTCTCACATTCGTTTTCAATTTCCGAATCCGTGTGGTAATCTTCGCAATCTGTTAAGTAGTCATTGCCTTGTGTCAGATTCTGCGCATGCAGAAAATTTCCAGATCGTCGCTCTACCCTCTCGATGGCTTCATTATCGACTGATTGCAATGCCTGTACATCGTTGTTGAGGAACTCTTCCAGGGATAGCTTCAGCTCTGGAAAACTGGGTTCCTTATCACAACCATCGCCTTCCATGTCAGAGTCGGACGCATCGTAGTCCTCCACATCGGTTAGTTCATGCGAAGTACCTTCTTCTGGAGCAGCCAAGTGATTCTTCGACGAACTTTTTGTCGGTGCTTTGACACTGTCGGCCTGACTGTCGAAATCCTCGACGTCGGTTGATTCGCCCCACTTTCTCGAATAGTTCATGTCATTGTCATGCGAATTTGATGTATCCGAATCAGAGTCCGATGATGATGAGGAATGGTGTAGATGAGGAGTAACCGATATTGTTGGCACATTCGTGGACATTGCAAGGCTTTTGGTGGCTAGGAATTTTAAAGCTTCTGATTTCTTGCGTGTGGAGTGTGGGTTTCTGAATGCGGTTCGAAAAGAGACGTAATCAAAATGTTACTATTTTACATTTTGTTTACTTAATAACAAATTGGCTTCATCGTTGAAGCCATGTCACTAGTCTGATAACGCTGTGCTTCTGTGGAATGGTTGGCGCCCCTTCCACACAATCACAGTCCACCAGATAAAGCGTGCTGGGTGCTTGGCAATAATCAAAGAATCTCCCTTTGGGAAGTGTGTGTATGTTGGAGTGGCTCTATGTATGAAACTCTCTCTATCTCTTACGTTCAACTACCCAAATATTGTTACATCCCAGGCATACATACTTACCTATCAACTACCTAACTACCTACCTTTGGAAGAACAGAACACAATTATAAATTGCATAGTTTACCTTTTGAGGCGTCGTCATCTACTGTAGATGGTGGCAGAGGACTGCCCGAGGCCGACGTTAACATATCAACAGCTTCGAATTGCCGTTGTAGTGTGGGGTCTAAGGCAAAGCCACCTGCTTGCTGTCGGCGTAGAGTTTCCTCGATCAACGCGAATGGACTTCGCGTTGGCTTCGGTGACCCAGGACTGGCCATACACAAACGGTCTTGATCTGAGGTGAATACGGGCAGAGCAACAGAGTCTGACAAACTGGAATCGGTGGTGTCAATGAAGCTGACATCGTGCTCATAGACGCAGCGCTGCTCAACAGACTGCGGCCGCATCATACTAATGTAGTCAACGTCGGGTTGGCGGTAAATTACCTCAAAGGGTTTGTCAGGCCCGCAAGTTTTAGTAAAGACTTCGCTAGTTATCACCTTACGGCTTCCGGCGGAGGAACTGGAACTTTTGGTGCTCTCGTTTGAGCGAATCGACCGTGCATTGTTCTCCGATTCATTATCGTCGTTTAGCACTACCGTACTCACCAAGGTGCTTGCAATAGGCTCTCGGTGGAGTCTAACTGTGGATACTCTGGTCGAAGTTACGTGGACATTTTGCTTCTTCTCGGCCAGTCTTGTGTTTAGTAGTTCTTTTTCGTTCTTATTTGTAATTTGATTATCCCTTTTCGCCGTCGAGGTTGCGGAGCTGGAAGAGGTTGATTTTCTACTTTGGATTGTTCTGGAAGTGGACGTCGTTGACACGCTGCTGGACGTGGTATTTGTACTGGATTGATTGATTGTATTTTTTAACTTCTTTTGAACTTTTACATCAACAGTCTTCTCTTTCGTATCGGTAGAACTCGACGTGGAACGTTTTCCCGATTGTCCGCCGATTGGTTTGGCTTTGGTTGATTTCGTGGTCTTACTCGTTTCATCTGGACGGTTGGACTTCAAAGCCGACATTCTCACTGGGACTTTGGTAGTAGCACTTTTTGTCTGTTTTACGGGTGTCGCGCTTTGGACTGCGACCTTCTTTCGATTGCTATCTTCAATGTCTTTAGTTTTCGGTTTTAGCAGCGTTTTCTTTTCAATGCTTGATTTATCCTGAGATATTTGTCTTACATAGGACACAGTTGTCGTTGAAGCTACCGTAGACCTGGTCAACCGATCTACTTTCTGGGTAGCTTTAACCAGCTTGTCTTTTGTTTGCGGAGAGGAATTCTGTGTTCTGGTTGTGCTAGTTAGTCGTTTTTTGTTATCAGTAGTCTTGGATTTGCCTTCTTTGGCCTTGGATGCTGTACTCAGAATGGACTCTTTGCTAGAGCTGTACTTATTGGATTGAAAATTCAGTCTTTCAGAACGCATTTTTATGGGTGTAGGAACCTTAGTGTTGTTCGTGCTTTTGGTGGATTTTGAAATTGACTTGTCGTCCAAACTAACGTTGCTATCAGTGCGACCTAAGCTGCCATATCGGCGACTATGAGCGATTGTGGGCTGCATGTAATGGTGCGTAGCTCCGGTTTGTGTTGGCGTCCTTAGTCGTCTTCTTTGAGAATCGTCGATGGGCGTGGAACTTCTGGAGCTCGGTGCCTCCTTCGCCTTTTTCACTCGAGGTGGTGTCGCCTGAGCTTTCCGTGTGTATGCATATACGCTAGTTACGCCAGAATAATTAGCTTTCGGGTGATTCGGTGGTGGACTGAACGATCGTAATGTTTGGTTCTGAGGAACTCTTGTAATATCTGTTCTAATTCGTGGCCTTGGTGTGGTGCTACGACTTTGGGATTCACTAGTTTCGAGAAAGGTTTGCTTGGGCAAAGGGCTCAGTGTTCTCTCTAAGCGAATTTGATTATTTAATGCTGAAATGTTTGTGGAATCGGTAATAACCCTTTCATATTTTCGAGTTGTCGGACTATCACTTTCCCTAGCTGATTTTGATTTTGTTTCTTGGAATAACTTTTCCTTAACTACTTTTGTACTCTTCTGTTTGGGTTTTTGGGTTACCCTACGCTTAGGAGTGCTCGAAACGATATCCTTTTTAACACCATTGGACGTAGCTATTTTTAAGTCGACGGATTTCATAGAGGAATTTGGGGGTGGTAAAAATTTCCTAGTCTTAGATATTCTAGCGTTCGGTGATGCCGAATCGGTATTTTCCTTTAAATCAACAAAATACGCAACTGCACGTATTTTGCTATCCTGCTTTTCATCAACACCCTGAATTTTATCACACACTTCGACAGGTACCGAATGGACAGAATTATCATCCATATTCTCCTTAGCCTCTGGTACCTTACTGTCATCATCTTCAACCGATTCATCATCAGAATATGGAGTCATACCACCCTTTCCTAAATCATTTGGGTGGTGTGGTTTAGAAGTCAAAGGATAAATAGGGTGTAATGGAACCGAAGGAGCAGACTTGTCGTCAGTTGGTTTCACAGGCACCGAAGAACCAGATTTATCTTCTTTAGCCTGTGGTACCTTACAGTCATCGTCTTCATCCGATTCACCATCAGAATCTGGAGTCACAACGTCCTTTCCTAAATCTGCTGGTGGTTGTTGGTTATAAGTCAATGTATCAACAGGTTGCAATGGTACCGATGGGACAGACTTGTCGCCAGTTGGTTTTACAGACACCGAAGGAACCGATTTATCCTCCTTAGCTTGTGGTACCTTACTGTCGTCTTCATCCGATTTGACATCAGAATATGGACTCATAACGCCCTTTCCTAAATCTACTGGTGGTTGTGGTTTAGAAGTCAAAGGATCAGTAGGGTGTAATGGCACCGAAGGGGCAAACTTGTCGTCAACTGGTTTTACAGGCACCGAAAGACCCGATTTATCCTCCTTAGCCTTACTATCGCCATCCCCTTCCGAATCATCATCAGAATATGGAGTCACACCGCCCTTTCCTAAATCTACTGGGTGTTGTGGTTTAGAAGTCAAAGGATCAATAGGGTGTAATGGAACCGAAGGGACAGATTTGTCGTCAACTGGTTCTACAGGCACCGAAGGAAGATATTTATCCTCTTCGTCGGATTCATCATCAGAATATGGAGTCATACCGCCCTTTCCAAAATCTACTGGTGGCTGTTGTTTTGAAGTTAATGGATCAGTAGGTTGCAATGGCACCGAATGGGCAGTCTTGTCGTCAGTTGGTCTCACAGGCACCGAAAGAACAGATTTATCCTCCTTAGGCTGTGGTACCATACTGTCGTCATCCTCATCTGAATCATTTTCAGAATATGGAGTCATACCACCCTTTCCCAAATCTACTAGGTGTTGTGGTTTAGAAGTCAAAGGATTAATAGGTTGTAATTGTACCGAAGGGGCAGTCTTGTCGTCAGTTGGTTTCACAGTCACCGAAGGAACAGATTTATCCTCTCCGGCCGATTCGTCATCAGAATATAGAGTCATACCACCCTTTCCTAAATCTACTGTTGGTTGTGGTTTAGATGTCAATGGATCAGTAGGTTGCAATGGTACCGAACGGACAGACTTGTCGTCAACTGGTTTTACAGGCACCGAAGGAACAGATTTATCCTCCTTAGCCTGTGTTACCTTACTGTTGTCATCCTCATCCGAATCATCATCAGAATATGGAGTCATACCGCCCTTTCCAAAATCTACTTGTGGTTGTTGTTTAGAAGTCAAAGGATCAATAGGTTGCAATGGCACCGAAAGGGCAGACTTGTCGTCAACTGGTTTTACAGGCACCGAAGGGACCGATTTATCCTCCTTAGCCTGTGGTACCTTACTGTCGTCGTCCTGGTCCGAATCATAATCAGAATATGGGGTCATACCGCCCTTTCTTAAATCTACTAGTTGTGGTTTAGATGTCAATGGATCAGTAGGTTGCAATGGTACCGAAGGGGCAGACTTGTCGTCAACTGGTTTTACAGGCACCGAAGGAACCGATTTATCCTCCTTAACCAGCGGTACCTTACTGTCGTCATCCCCTTCTGAATCATCATCAGAATATGGAGTCACCCCGCCCTTTCCTAAATCTACTGGGTGTTGTGGTTTAGAAGTCAAAGGATCAACAGGGTGTAATGGAACCGAAGAGGCAGATTTGTCGTCAACTGGTTTTACAGGCACCGGAGGAACAGATTTATCCTCCTTAGCCTGTGGTAGCTTACTGTCGTCGTGCTCATCCGAGTCATCATCAGAATATGGGGTCATACCGCCCTTTCCTAAATCTACAGGTGGTTGTGGTTTAGATGTCAATGGATCAGTAGGTTGCAATGGTATCGAAAGGGCTGACTTGTCGTCAACTGGTTTTACAGGCATCGAAGGAACAGATTTATCCTCTTTGTCCGATTCATCATCAGAATATGGAGTCATGCCGCCAGTTCCAAAATCTACTGGTGATTCTTGTTTAGAAGTCAAAGGATCAATAGGTTGTAATGGTACCGAAGGGGCAGACTTGTCTTCAACTGGTTTTACAGGCACCGAAGGAACCGATTGATCCTCCTTAGCCTGTGGTACCTTACTGTCGTCATCCCCTTCCGAATCATCATCAGAATATGGAGTCATACCGCCCTTTCCTAAATCTACTGGAGGTTGTGGTTTAGATGTCAATGGAGCAGTAGGTTGCAATGGTACCGAAGGGGCAGACTTGTCGTCAGTTGGTTTCACAGGCACCGAAGGAACCGATTCGTCATCGCAATATGGAGGCATACCGCCCTTCCTTAAATCTACTGGTGATACTTGTTTAGAAGTCAAAGGATCAAGACGTTGTAATGGTACCGAAGGGGCAGACTTGTCGTCAACTGGTTTTACAGGCACCGAAGGAACAGATTTATCCTCCTTAGCCTGTGGTACCTTACTGTCGTCATCCTCATCCGAAACATCTTTGAAATATGGAGTCATACCACCCTTTCCAAAATCTACTTGTGGTTGTTGTTTAGAAGTCAAAGTATCAATAGGTTCCAATGGCACCGAAGGGGCAGACTTGTCGTCAACTGGTTTTACAGGCACCGAAGGGACCGATTTATCCTCCTTAGCCTCTGGCACCTTACTGTCGTCATCCTCATCCGAACCATCATCAGAATATGGGGTCATATAGCCCTTTCCTAAATCTACTGGTGGTTGTGGTTTAGATGTCAATGGAGCAGTAGGTTGCAATGGTACCGAATGGGCAGACTTGTCGTCAACTGGTTTTACAGGCACCGAAGGAACCGATTGATCCTCCTTAGCCTGTGGTACCTTACTGTCGTCGTCCTTATCCGAATCATAATCAGAATATGGTGTCATACCGCCCTTTCCTAAATCTACTGGTGGCTGTTGTTTAGAAGCTAAGGGAGCAGTAGGTTGCAATGGCACCGAAGGGCCAGTCTTGTCGTCAGTTGGTCTCACAGGCACCGAAGGAACAGATTTATCCTCCTTAGCCTGTGGTACCTTACTGTCGTCATCCTCATCCGAATCAACATCGGAATATGGAGACATGCCGCCCTTTCCCAAATCTACTGGGTGTTGTGGTTTAGAAGTCAAATGATCAATGGGGTGTAATGGAACCGAAGGGGCAGACTTGTCGTCAGATGTTTTCACAGGCAACGAAGGAACAGATTTATCCTCCTTAGCCTGTGGTACCTTACTGTCGTCATTCTCATCCGAATCATCTTCAGAATATGGTGTCATACCACCCTTTCCCAAATCTACTGGGTGTTGTGGTTTAGAAGTCAAAGGATCAATGGGGTGTAATGGAACCGAAGGGGCAGACTTGTCGTCAGATGTTTTCACAGGCAACGAAGGAACAGATTTATCCTCCTTAGCCTGTGGTACCTTACTGTCGTCATCGTCATCCGAATCATCTTCGGAATATGGAGTCATACCACCCTTTCCCAAATCTACTGGTGATTCTTTTTTAGAAGTCAAAGGATCAATATGGTGTAATGGAACCGAAGGGGCAGACTTGTCGTCAGTTTGTTTCGCAGGCACCGAAGGAACAGATTTATCCTCCTTAGCTTCTGGCACCTTACTGTCGTCATCCTCATCCGAATCATCATCAGAATATGGGGTCATACCGCCCATTCCCAAATCTACAGGTGGTAGTGGTTTAGATGTCAATGGAGCAGTAGGTTGCAATGGTACCGAAGGGGCAGACTTGTCGTCAACTGGTTTTACAGGCAACGAAGGAAGAGATTTATCCTCTTCGGCCGATTCATAATCAGAATATGGGGTCATATCGCCCATTCCCAAATCTACAGGTGGTAGTGGTTTAGATGTCATCATCAGAATATGGAGTCATACCGCCCATTCCCAAATCTACAGGTGGTAGTGGTTTAGATGTCAATGGAGCAGTAGGTTGCAATGGTACCGAAGGGGCAGACTTGTCGTCAACTGGTTTTACAGGCAACGAAGGAAGAGATTTATCCTCTTCGGCCGATTCATCATCAGAATATGGAGACATGCCGCCCTTTCCAAAATCTACTGGTGGCTGTTGTTTAGAAGCTAATGGAGCAGTAGGTTGCAATGGCACCGAAGGGGCAGTCTTGTCGTCAGTTGGTCTCACAGGCACCGAAGGAACAGATTTATCCTCCTTAGCCTGTGGTACCTTACTGTCGTCATCCTCATCCGAATCATCTTCGGAATATGGAGTCATACCACCCTTTCCCAAATCTACTGGTGATTCTTGTTTAGAAGTCAAAGGATCAATAGGGTGTAATGGAACCGAAGGGGCAGACTCGTCGTCAGTTGGTTTCACAGGCACCGAAGGAACCGATTTATCCTCCTTAGCCTGTGGTACCTTACTGTCGTCATCGTCATCCGAATCATCTTCGGAATATGGAGTCATACCACCCTTTCCCAAATCTACTGGTGATTCTTTTTTAGAAGTCAAAGGATCAATATGGTGTAATGGAACCGAAGGGGCAGACTTGTCGTCAGTTGGTTTCGCAGGCACCGAAGGAACAGATTTATCCTCCTTAGCTTCTGGCACCTTACTGTCGTCATCCTCATCCGAATCATCATCAGAATATGGGGTCATACCGCCCATTCCCAAATCCACAGGTGGTAGTGGTTTAGATGTCAATGGAGCAGTAGGTTGCAATGGCACCGAAGGGGCAGTCTTGTCGTCAGTTGGTCTCACAGGCACCGAAGGAACAGATTTATCCTCTTCGGCCGATTCATCATCAGAATATGGAGACATGCCGCCCTTTCCAAAATCTACTGGTGGCTGTTGTTTAGAAGCTAATGGAGCAGTAGGTTGCAATGGCACCGAAGGGGCAGTCTTGTCGTCAGTTGGTCTCACAGGCACCGAAGGAACAGATTTATCCTCCTTAGCCTGTGGTACCTTACTGTCGTCATCCTCATCCGAATCATCATCAGAATATGGGGTCATACCGCCCTTTCCTAAATCTACTGGTGGTTGTGGTTTAGATGTCAATGTATCAGTAGGTTGCAATGGTACCGAAGGGGCAGACTTGTCGTCATCTGGTTTTACAGGCATCGAAGGAACAGATTTATCCTCCTTAGCCTGTGGTACCTTACTGTCGTCATCCTCATCCGAATCATCTTCGGAATATGGAGTCATACCACCCTTTCCCAAATCTACTGGTGATTCTTGTTTAGAAGTCAAAGGATCAATAGGGTGTAATGGAACCGAAGGGGCAGACTAGTCGTCAGTTGGTTTCACAGGCACCGAAGGAACAGATTTATCCTCCTTAGCCTGTGGTACCTTACTGTCGTCATCGTCATCCGAATCATCTTCGGAATATGGAGTCATACCACCCTTTCCCAAATCTACTGGTGATTCTTTTTTAGAAGTCAAAGGATCAATATGGTGTAATGGAACCGAAGGGGCAGACTTGTCGTCAGTTGGTTTCGCAGGCACCGAAGGAACAGATTTATCCTCCTTAGCTTCTGGCACCTTACTGTCGTCATCCTCATCCGAATCATCATCAGAATATGGGGTCATACCGCCCATTCCCAAATCTACAGGTGGTAGTGGTTTAGATGTCAATGGAGCAGTAGGTTGCAATGGTACCGAAGGGGCAGACTTGTCGTCAACTGGTTTTACAGGCAACGAAGGAAGAGATTTATCCTCTTCGGCCGATTCATCATCAGAATATGGAGACATGCCGCCCTTTCCAAAATCTACTGGTGGCTGTTGTTTAGAAGCTAATGGAGCAGTAGGTTGCAATGGCACCGAAGGGGCAGTCTTGTCGTCAGTTGGTCTCACAGGCACCGAAGGAACAGATTTATCCTCCTTAGCCTGTGGTACCTTACTGTCGTCATCCTCATCCGAATCATCTTCGGAATATGGAGTCATACCACCCTTTCCCAAATCTACTGGTGATTCTTGTTTAGAAGTCAAAGGATCAATAGGGTGTAATGGAACCGAAGGGGCAGACTCGTCGTCAGTTGGTTTTAAAGGCACCGAAGGAACAGATTTATCCTCCTTAGCCTGTGGTACCTTACTGTCGTCATCCTCATCCGAATCATCTTCGGAATATGGAGTCATACCACCCTTTCCCAAATCTACTGGTGATTCTTTTTTAGAAGTCAAAGGATCAATATGGTGTAATGGAACCGAAGGGGCAGACTCGTCGTCAGTTGGTTTCACAGGCACCGAAGGAACAGATTTATCCTCCTTAGCCTGTGGCACCTTACTGTCGCCATCCTCATCCGAATCATCATCAGAATATGGGGTCATACCGCCCTTTCCTAAATCTACTGGTGGTTGTGGTTTAGATGTCAATGGAGCAGTAGGTTGTAATGGTACCGAAGGGGCAGACTTGTCGTCAACTGGTTTTACAGGCAACGAAGGAAGAGATTTATCCTCTTCGGCCGATTCATCATCAGAATATGGAGTCATACCGCCCTTTCCAGAATCTACTGGTGGCTGTTGTTTAGAAGCTAATGGAGCAGAAGGTTGCAATGGCACCGAAGGGGCAGACTTGTCGTCAGTTGGTCTCACAGGCACCGAAGGAACAGATTTATCCTCCTTAGCCTGTGGTACCTTACTGTCGTCATCCTCATCCGAATCATCTTCGGAATATGGAGTCATACCACCCTTTCCCAAATCTACTGGTGATTCTTGTTTAGAAGTCAAAGGATCAATAGGGTGTAATGGAACCGAAGGGGCAGACTCGTCGTCAGTTGGTTTCACAGGCACCGAAGGAACCGATTTATCCTCCTTAGCCTGTGGCACCTTACTGTCGTCATCCTCATCCGAATCATCATCAGAATATGGGGTCATACCGCCCTTTCCAAAATCTACTGGTGGCTGTTGTTTAGAAGCTAATGGAGCAGTAGGTTGCAATGGCACCGAAGGGGCAGTCTTGTCGTCAGTTGGTCTCACAGGCACCGAAGGAACACATTTATCCTCCTTAGCCTGTGGTACCTCACTGTCGTCGTCCTCATCCGAATCATCATCAGAATATGAGGTCATACCGCCCATTCCTAAATCTACTGGTGTTTGTGGTTTAGATGTCAATGGATCAGTAGGTTGTAATGGTACCGAAGGGACAGACTTGTCGTCAACTGGTTTTACAGGCACCGAAGGAACAGATTTATCCTCCTTAGCCTGTGGTACCTTACTGTCGTCATCCGAATCATCATCAGAATATGGAGTCATACCGCCCTTTCCTAAATCTACTGGTGGTTGTGGTTTAGAAGTCAAAGGATCAATAGGTTGCAATGGTACCGAAGGGGCAAACTTGTCGTCAGTTGGTTTCACAGGCACCGAAGCAACAGATTTATCCTCTTCGTCCGATTCATCATCAGAATATGGAGTCGCACCGCCCTTTCTAAAATCTACAGGTGGCTGTTGTTTTGAAGTTAATGGATCAGTAGGTTGCAATGGCACCGAAGGGGCAGACTTGTCGTCAGTTGGTTTCACAGGCGCCGAAGGAACCGAATCGTCATCGGAATATGGAGGCATACCGCCCTTCCTTGAATCTACTGGTGATTCGTGTTTAGATGTCAAAGGATCAATAGGTTGTAATGGCACCGAAGGGGCAGACTTGTCGTCAACTGGTTTTACAGGCACCGAAGGAACAGATTTATCCTCCTTAGCCAGTGGTACCTTACTGTCGTCATCCTCATCCGAATCATCTTCAGAATATGGAGTCATACCACCCTTTCCCAAATCTACTGGGTGTTGTGGTTTAGAAGTCAAAGGATCAATAGGGTGTAATGGAACCGAAAGGGCAGACTTGTCGTCAGTAGGTTTCCCAGGCATCGAAGGAACAGATTTATCCTCCTTAGCCTGTGGCACCTTACTGTCGCCATCCTCATCCGAATCATCATCAGAATATGGGGTCATACCGCCCTTTCCTAAATCTACTGGTGGTTGTGGTTTAGATGTCAATGGAGCAGTAGGTTGTAATGGTACCGAATGGTCAACTGGTTTTACAGGCAACGAAGGAAGAGATTTAGGTTGAATATGGAGTCAATGGTGGCTGTTGTTTAGAAGCTAATGGAGCAGGGTTGCAGGCACTTGTCGTCAACTGGTTTTACAGGCATCGAAAGAACCGATTTATCCTCCTTAGGCTGTGGTACCTTACTGTCGTCATCCTCATCCGAATCATCATCAGAATATGGAGTCATACCGCCCTTTCCAAAATCTACTGGTGGCTGTTGTTTAGAAGCTAATGGAGCAGTAGGTTGCAATGGCACCGAAGGGGCAGACTCGTCGTCAGTTGGTTTTAAAGGCACCGAAGGAACAGATTTATCCTCCTTAGCCTGTGGTACCTTACTGTCGTCATCCTCATCCGAATCATCTTCGGAATATGGAGTCATACCACCCTTTCCCAAATCTACTGGTGATTCTTGTTTAGAAGTCAAAGGATCAATAGGGTGTAATGGAACCGAAGGGGCAGACTGGTCGTCAACTGGTTTCACAGGCACCGAAGGAACAGATTTATCCTCCTTAGCCTGTGGCACCTTACTGTCGTCATCCTCATCCGAATCATCATCAGAATATGGGGTCATACCGCCCTTTCCAAAATCTACTGGTGGCTGTTGTTTAGAAGCTAATGGAGCAGTAGGTTGCAATGGCACCGAAGGGGCAGTCTTGTCGTCAGTTGGTCTCACAGGCACCGAAGGAACAGATTTATCCTCCTTAGCCTGTGGTACCTTACTGTCGTCGTCCTCATCCGAATCATCATCAGAATATGAGGTCATACCGCCCATTCCTAAATCTACTGGTGGTTGTGGTTTAGATGTCAATGGATCAGTAGGTTGTAATGGTACCGAAGGGGCAGACTTGTCGTCAACTGGTTTTACAGGCACCGAAGGAACAGATTTATCCTCCTTAGCCTGTGGCACCTTACTGTCGTCATCCTCATCCGAATCATCATCAGAATATGGGGTCATACCGCCCTTTCCAAAATCTACTGGTGGCTGTTGTTTAGAAGCTAATGGAGCAGTTGCAATGGTTGCAATGGCACCGAAGGGGCAGTTTTGTCGTCAGTTGGTCTCACAGGCACCGAAGGAACAGATTTATCCTCCTTAGCCTGTGGTACCTTACTGTCGTCGTCCTCATCCGAATCATCATCAGAATATGGGGTCATACCACCCTTTCCTAAATCTACTGGGTGTTGTGGTTTAGAAGTCAAAGGATCAATAGGGTGTAATGGAACCGAAAGGGCAGACTTGTCGTCAGTAGGTTTCACAGGCATCGAAGGAACAGAATTATCCTCCTTAGCCTGTGGTACCTTACTGTCGTCATCCGAATCATCTTCGGAATATGGAGTCATACCACCCTTTCCCAAATCTACTGGGTGTTGTGGTTTAGAAGTCAAAGGATCAATAGGTTGTAATGGAACGGAAGGGATAGACTTGTCGTCAGTTGGTTTCACAGGCACCGAAGGAACAGATTTATCCTCCTTAGCCTGTGGTACCTTACTATCGTCATCCCGATCCGAATCATCATCAGAATATGGGGTCATACCGCCCTTTCCAAAATCTACTGGTGGCTGTTGTTTAGAAGCTAATGGAGCAGAAGGTTGCAATGGCACCGAAGGGGCAGTCTTGTCGTCAGTTGGTCTCACAGGCACCGAAGGAACAGATTTATCTTCTTCGTCCGATTCATCATCAGAATATGGAGTCATACCGCCCTTTCCAAAATCTACTGTTGGCTGTTGTTTAGAAGCTGATGGAGCAGAAGGATGTAATGGTACCGAAGGGGCAGACTTGTCGTCAGTTGGTTTCACAGGCACCGAAGGAACAGATTTATCCTCCTTAGCCTGTGGTACCTTACTGTCGTCATCCGAATCATCTTCGGAATATGGAGTCATACCACCCTTTCCCAAATCTACTGGGTGTTGTGGTTTAGAAGTCAAAGGATCAATAGGGTGTAATGGAACGGAAGGGGTAGACTTGTCGTCAGTTGGTTTCACAGGCACCGAAGGAACAGATTTATCCTCCTTAGCCTGTGGTACCTTACTGTCGTCGTCCTGATCCGAATCATCATCAGAATATGGGGTCATACCGCCCTTTCCAAAATCTACTGGTGGCTGTTGTTTAGAAGCTAATGGAGCAGAAGGTTGCAATGGCACCGAAGGGGCAGTCTTGTCGTCAGTTGGCCTCACAGGCACCGAAGGAACAGATTTATCCTCCTGTGCCTGTGGTACCTTACTGTCGTCATCCGAATCATCTTCGGAATATGGAGTCATACCACCCTTTCCCAAATCTACTGGTGATTCTTGTTTAAAAGTCAAAGGATCAATAGGGTGTAATGGAACCGAAGGGGCAGACTCGTCGTCAACTGGTTTTACAGGCACCGAAGGAAGAGATTCATCCTCTTCGTCCGATTCATCATCAGAATATGATGAATATGGCTGTTGTTTTGAAGCTAATGGAGCAGTAGGTTGCAATGGCACCGAAGGGGCAGACTTGTCGTCAGTTGGTCTCACAGGCACCGAAGGAACAGATTTATCCTCCATAGCCTGTGGTACCTTACTGTCGTCGTCCTCATCCGAATCATCATCAGAATATGGGGTCATACCGCCCTTTCCTAAATCTACTGGTGGTTGTGGTTTAGATGTCAATGGATCAGTAGGTTGTAATGGTACCGAAGGGACAGACTTGTCGTCAACTGGTTTTACAGGCACCGAAGGAACAGATTTATCCTCCTTAGCCTGTGGCACCTTACTGTCGTCATCCTCATCCGAATCATCATCAGAATATGGGGTCATACCGCCCTTTCCTAAATCTACTGGTGGTTGTGGTTTAGATGTCAATGGATCAGTAGGTTGCAATGGTGCCGAAGGGGCAGACTTGTCGTCACCTGGTTGTACAGGCACCGAAGGAAGAGATTTATCCTCTTCGTCCGATTCATCAACAGAATATGGAGTCATACCGCCCTTTCCAAAATCTACTGGTGGATGTTGTTTAGAAGCTAATGGATCAGTAGGTTGCAATGGCACCGAAGGGGCAGTCTTGTCGTCAGTTGGTCTCACAGGCACCGAAGGAACAGATTTATCCTCCTTAGCCTGTGGTACCTTACTGTCGTCGTCCTCATCCGAATCATCATCAGAATATGGGGTCATACCACCCTTTCCTAAATCTACTGGTGGTTGTGGTTTAGAAGTTAATGGATCAGTAGGTTGCAATGGCACCGAAGGGGCGGACTTGTCGTCAGTTGGTTTCATAGGGTGCAATGGTACCGAAGGCACCGAATGAACCGACTTATCCTCCTTAGCCTGTGAATTCTTACTGTCATCATCTTCATCCGAGCCATCATCAGAATATGGAGTCATACCGCCCTTTCCTAAATCTACTGGTGGTTGTGGTTTAGATGCCAATGGATCAGTAGGTTGCAATGGTAGCGAAGGTGCAGACTTGTCGTCAACTGGTTTTACAGGCACCGAAGGAAGAGATTTATCCTCTTCGTCCGATTCATCATCAGAATATGGAGTCATACCGCCCCTTCCAAAATCTACTGGTGTCTGTTGTTTAGAAGCTAATGGAGCAGAAGGTTGCAATGGCACCGAAGGGGCAGACTTGTCGTCAGTTGGTTTCACAGGCACCGAAGGAACCAATTCGTCATCGGAATATGGAGGCATACCGCCCTTTCTTAAATCTACTGGTGATTCTTGTTTAGAAGTCAAAGGATCAGTAGGTTGTAATGGTACCGAAGGGGCAGACTTGTCGTCAGTTGGTTTCACAGGCACCGAAGCACCAGATTTATCCTCTTCGTCCGATTCATCATCAGAATATTGAATCATACCGCCCTTTCCAAAATCTACTGGTGGCTGTTGCTTTGAAGTTAATGGATCAGTAGGTTGTAATGGCACCGAAGGGGCAGACTTTTCGTCAGTTGATTTCACAGGCGCCGAAGGAACCGATTCGTCATCGGAGTATGGAGGCATACCGCCCTTCCTTAAATCTACTGGTGATTCTTGTTTAGAAGTCAAAGGATCAATAGGTTGTAATGGTACCGAAGGGGCAGACTTGTCGTCAGTTGGTCTCACAGGCACCGAAGGAACAGATTTATCCTCCTTAGCCTGTGGTACCTTACTGCCGTCATCCTCTTCCGAATCATCTTCGGAATATGGAGTCATACCACCCTTTCCCAAATCTACTGGTGATTCTTGTTTAGAAGTCAAAGGATCAATAGGGTGTAATGGGACCGAAGGGGCAGACTTGTCGTCAGTTGGTTTCACAGGCATCGAAGGAACAGATTTATCCTCCTTAGCCTGTGGTACCTTACTGCCGTCATCCTCTTCCGAATCATCTTCGGAATATGGAGTCATACCACCCTTTCCCAAATCTACTGGTGGTTGTGGTTTAGAAGTCAAAGGATCAATAGGGTGTAATGGAACCGAAGGGGCAGGCTTGTCGTCAGTTGGTTTCACAGGCATCGAAGGAACAGATTTATCCTCCTTAGCCTGTGGTACCTTACTGCCGTCATCCTCTTCCGAATCATCTTCGGAATATGGAGTCATACCACCCTTTCCCAAATCTACTGGTGATTCTTGTTTAGAAGTCAAAGGATCAATAGGGTGTAATGGGACCGAAGGGGCAGACTTGTCGTCAGTTGGTTTCACAGGCATCGAAGGAACAGATTTATCCTCCTTAGCCTGTGGCACCTTACTGTCGTCATCCTCATCCGAATCATCATCAGAATATGGGGTCATACCGCCCTTTCCTAAATCTACTGGTGGTTGTGGTTTAGATGTCAATGAACCAGTAGGTTGCAATGGTACCGAAGGGGCAGACTTGTCGTCAACTGGTTGTACAGGCACCGAAGGAAGAGATTTATCCTCTTCGTCCGATTCATCAACAGAATATGGAGTCATACCGCCCTTTCCAAAATCT